TCCCCCCCTCTCTCTCTCTCTCTTCCTTCCATCCTTTTACGAACGGGGGGGAGCGGGTTGTGGATAGTACTAGCGATCAAATCAGGACTAACACACAACGACCAAACGACCGACCGACCGACCGACGAACGGACGGACTGATGTGAGAGCTTGGTGCCGCTACCGCTCTGCTCTTAACTCGGTGCACGGATATTGTTTACCCGACCATTTAGGTAATTGCTGGCCTACCGCCCTGCGAGCCAATCGAACGTAACCAGCGGATGTGTCTGCAATACCGATCTCCCTCTCTCGCTTCGTCGATTCTGTCGCTCTCGTGATCTTCAGCTCTTCTTGTTTCTCTCCAATTTCTTCTCTCTCTCTCTCTCTCTCTCTCTCTCTCCCTCTCTCTCTGTCTGTCTGTCTGTCTCCTCTCTTTTACCATCGTTTACTCTGCGGCGTCAGCCCGTCGATCACTCGATCATCATCGAATTAGCTCGGGACCAATTGTTCGATGAGAGACTAACACTGTTATTGTCACGGTGATCGATTCTTTCCAGGAAATTGGCGAGATTGGAAAGATACATACGTTTTGCCAAAAGATTGTGGCAGTGGAGCGTTTTGACAGTTTTAATGATTGCCGTTGTATTGTTCCGGTGCTGTATTCGGTGATAAATGGTCGACCAATATAATGTAGCGAGCTCTAAGCGTTTCATGCGCGACCGCACTTTGTTCGCGCGACATTGAAAATGCGATTGAGCTTGGAATAGTTTTATAGATGGTCCATACGTAGCGCGCACACACACACACACACACACACACACGCACGCGTTTGCGAACGCGAATATTACGTTTTGCAAAATTATGACTACGACGGTGATCACGTTGAATGACAAATTGGATTAAGCGTGCCTCGAGTAATTCTCAATTGTACCGTCTCATTATTTGGTTAGCGCTCGAGTGAAGTAACGGCGCGGTAGTTGAGCCGCGCGAGAAGGTATCGTGGTGTTATCATGTTCAGCGAAAACTAATTATCGCGGGTGCCGTAGTTAATGCGATAATAGACCTTTTATTCATCAAGTCTAACCATTTTGTTAACCGCATACATTATATACATACCGCACAGCTTGTACTGCGCATACGGGCGGCTACTCCAGAAGAGTGCCGCTGTTCTTTTCATTTATATATTCTCCGAGCATATTTGAAGTATAATTTTCCTTTTTAAGAAAATTTTGATCGCCTCTTTCTCAGTGCTTTAATATTAAATATTTTCATAGATTATTCTCTAATGATTCCATTAAAGTAAAATTTAAAGAGTCGCTCTGCTTTTCTCGTTCGCGCGCTTGAAGCATTATTCGTCCGAGCGTATTAACTTGTCAAGCTATTCACTGTGGTGGCTCCGAATTAATGGAAAAATACGCTGTTGGAAAAAACCGGAGACAATTTTGGAACACCCTTCGCGTTCTCGACTTTAGAAAAAGGTACAAGTGCGCTCTTCTCATTCCATCTTGTCACATAAACGGACGAACGTAATTATTCACCGCACGTGTCTCTGTCTACAAAAATATCGCTTTCACAACGTCGTCGGTTTTCGCTTGAAAACGTCATTCTAAACTTAATGTCAATTATTCGCGGACAAATGAGGGCGGTTTCACTCGCGTCACTTAGGGACGATTTAGTCAACGTCGGTCGCGACACTAATCTTTGTTTGCAACATATTCCTTTTCCCCTCAAGCGATTCTCATATAATTTGTACTAATATTATCGTTACAGAATAACGATTGAGAAATATATCTATCGAGTCGCGATTAACGGAAAAATAAATGGGCCTTATCTGTCCTATCTTTTTACTGATAAAGATATTGTATAATAAATTTTTACAAAAATTTAATGTGCCTTCCTGTGTTCCATAGACATTTTGCGAATCAATATTTTAATTACCGCAAGAGATAAAAAATTAATGTACCTACTTGGTAAGCGTCACGTACGATGGATCGAGGTCATTTACGGTGCATTCCGTAATGCATGCACTGTTTGCTACCCGATTTGTAGTACGTTAAAACTTAATTAATAATTCAGGACGTTAATGTAACGTACATCAATGCGCGCCATCCAAGTGTTCTAAGCGCGTTGCTCGTCTCCGAGAAACGATTGAATGTAATAATGTATAAAGAAAAAAGAAAGCGTTACGTTAATAATCTCGCCCGTATTGATTACGCGCCCTTGCGATGAGTATCGTAGCGCGAGCCTGTTGTTGATCATCGAGCGTGCTGGAGAGCATCCCCCGTGTCATTATGGCTCAGGTGAACACCGGAGCCGGTGGATTACTCCACCTGCCAAAGTGTGATGTGGGTTTAGGGCGGGGATCGCCCTAATAGTTCCGAAACGGTACGCGAGTCGGGAGGTTAGCTAGTTGGCGAGATAGATATGGAGTGCGACGGCGGGATGCAACGGTGAGAGGGGTTGATAGAGCGATCGAGCGGCCAAGCGGAGTGAGGAATGAAGAGGAGGGTGGCGGGGTGCTCGGCACAGAGATCGGACAGACCAGCCGTGACCAATTTGCGCCCGTTCGTGCTCCCGATTCTGATCCCGATTCTATCCGCCGCACACGAATACACACGTATACACAGGTACTGTTCGCACACGTACACATATCGATGTACGACCCCCACGATCTTCCCTTCTCGATGCCCATACACCCCCTGCCCCTTCCCTTCCGCCCACTCCTTCCTCGTCCCCGCCACCTCCCCCTCCCCCCCTCTCCCGCGATGGATCCCCCGATCCGCGCGCGCGTTGGCACCCTCCTGCCAAGAGATATCCGTCACAGAAAGTCGCGTTGTGTCGCTCGGTGAGCAGGCCACCCCAAAAGTTTCACGCCTATCTGGACCGGCGGCACCATCTATTCGCGCCACGATAATTGGCCAATTAAAACGGGGCGAAAGCGTTCGAGTTACCTGCCATCCGATAATTATACGGTGTCCTCGCGGCGGTTCGACCACGTATCCACGCGACTGGGTGTGGGTGGTGGAGACGAATAGCAGTGGCGAGAGAGAAAGAGAGAGAAAGAGGGGTTGGAGGATAGGAGTGGGATACGAGTGAAATCGCAGGACGGACGTGGGAGGAAAGGCTCCTCCGGAGGGCCGAAAGGTGGAGGACGGAATCGACTATTCCGATCACGTGGCTTCGGATTCTACAACTACGTGGTGGTCCTCCCGGTCTCTCTCTCTCTCTCTCTCTCTCATTCTCTCTGGCCTTCCTCTCTGCGATGCCACCCCGCTCCCGCTTCCGTCTCGCAAGCCCGCGCCACAACCTCCGCGACTCTCCTCTCGTTCTCTCGCTTACCATCCTCCTCGGCGTAAATCAATGCGGACAGCACGCCCTTTCCTTAACCCC